ATCATCAATTTTCATGAAAAACAACTGTTATGGTGTGAGTCAGATTAAGCAAGTGAGTTGTAATTATTATCATATTTATATTTCGTTTTCGTGGGGTACAGACTTCGACTAGCAATGACGTATTCCATTCCCCTGAAACCACTGCATTTTCCTCATATTAGGGCAGAAATAAAATTAACTACTGTGTTTCCTAATTACGCCCCGTAAAAGTTTAGTTTTTGGTACAGCCACCTACTATTCTGTTTGTTTATTTGTAATTATGCACAAAGCTACATAATGGGCTGTCTGTGCTCTGTCCACCACGGGTATCGAAACCCGGTTTCTAGCGTTGTAAGTCCGCAAACATACCGCTGTGCCACTGGGGGGCCCAACCTTTGTGTGTTTTAGATATTTCTATTTTACACTGATTTTAGGTTCCTGTCTTCCCTTGAATAAAGATTTCCAAATTCTATTTAACGTTCTATCAGCTTTCTGTATGTTCACTGATCCACCCATTCATGTATTTATCTAGACTATACTTAGTTCAGCTCACAATTCAAAAATTCAATTCTGGTTTAGATCATAGCGTTATTTTCTTTATTTAATATGTTGTTTTGGTCGATAAATTAAAATTCGTTATCCATTTGTAAACCTACCTACTGGAAATATTTGAGACATGACACCAAAACGTCTAGTTAGAAAGAGAGGTTTACGTTAGGGTTAGACGTTTGTGGGATTGTATTAGGTCGTCAAGAAATTAATGTCGCTTTTTTTAGATGAAAAAACCCGAATAACTTATATATATCAAAACAAAACGTTTCTTAACTGAAATATTCTCCATTTTTATCGATGATGATTTTCCATCTTACATTCAGGTTGTTAATGCCCTGATTAAATAAATCATTTGGCTTTGAAGCATGTCCTCTCTAACATCTTACACATAACACTTGATCTCAGCTTTGTTGTGTCTTTCTCCCCATGGTGGCGTTAGTGTCGAATATAAACACCACCTCTGTTGACTTACGTCACGGTCTTGTTGGATTGTGGTAATTATTCATTTTGAGCAGAATAAGAGTTATTGGTGGTACGCTGGTACTAAGCTGAAGTCTGTCAACTTTGTTACAGGTTTTACAATACCCGCTCTTCAGTAAAGTGATTGTTGGTATACATCACAGTAGGAATCTTGACATTGTCTCGTATTTCTTCCAAACAATATTTCATCGCAATCTGTGATATTAGTCTGTTATGGTGACGTTTCACAAAAGAAGATATTTATTAAAGAAACGGCGGTTTCTTTTTATAGGAAATGTCAGATTATAGCAAACACATTTATTTTTAATTTATTAAATATATTTGTAATTTACCCTCCCTAGTTTTATTTGTAACTGATAATAAGATATGCGTTAAAAAGGAGATAGTACCCTAATTTCATAAGCTAAAGGAAAATTCAACTTACACTATAATTAATATATTCTTACGCTACGAAAGGAAAATGTACATATGTATTTATATATATACATATACCAGTTTAAAATATGGTTAACCTACAAATAAATGATGGAATATAGCGGTTTACTGAAACACCTCAAGGAATTGATGTTTATATTCTATGTTTACGTCAAAAACCTCGTGAGTTATTCCATAAAATCAAGATTCATTTGATTATTTTCATCTTGGTACATATTTCATGATTTTGAAACGAAAGAGGGGATTCTCAAAAACGTAACTCTCACAACATGATGGTGAATTCCAAATCGATGGTAGTTTTCTAGGAATGTTTTAACGCAAAAGGCAATCCTTATGATTTGTTTGTAATTAAGCACAAAGCTACACAATGGGCTATCTGTGCTCTGCCCACCACGGGTATCGAAACCCGGATTCTAGCGTTGTAAGTCCGCAGGCATACCGCTGTGCCACTGGGGGGGGGCAATTATTATGAGAGAAAAAAATCAGACGTTTGCTTTTGGATTAATATAAACCTAAATTGTGCAAACGAATTTTTTTTAAGTATTGATATACTTTATTTACAAATCTAAAAATATTTGTTTGTTTTGAATTTCGCGCAAAGCTACACGAGGGCTATCTGCGCTAGTTAGGAGTGTAAGACTAGAGGGAAGGCAACTAGTCATCACCACCCACCGCCATCTCTTGGGCTACTCTTTTACTAACGAATAGTGGGATTGACCGTCACTTATAACGCCCCCACGGCTGAAAGGGCGAGTATATTTGGTGGGAGGGGGATTCGAACCCGCGACCCTCAGATTGCGAGTCAAGCGCCCTAGCCACCTGGCCATGCCGGGCATCTAAAAAGAAAAGAAAAATTCAAACCTGATGAACAAGTTCCTATGTGCATTGAGAATTTTCTACCAAATCTACCTTATTACCCTAGGCCTACCTCTTCATCCATGCTGGTCACCGTAGATTAATAATTTTCTTTGAGTTTGTGCCTAACCCCATTATCCAGTATTTGGGAGATAATCCTATCGATTTTTGACACTTCTAGTGAAGACGGACTTCATCCATAATGAATGGCAGGTGATGATGTGCAGATAATGAATGAACCACACGAGCAGATACTGACTAATTTTGTCATCTTCAAGATATGAAATCATGTTTCAAGAAACAAGGATTACAAAGTCATCGGATGTATGAAGTTATCTATGATCGCTTTGAGACAAAATTAAATTTAAAAAAAGAAAAAAATTGGTAAATATATATATGCAGTAAGTAAACCACAAGAAACCATGAATCATACAAATATTTTAGGTTATTCTTTATATATTTTTTATATGAGTGTATGTTAACTTTCCCTTTCTATTATTCATCTTTTTATCGTAATAGAAAACACGTCGACACTCTGGACACTAAATATAATATTTATTATTATGGACCACTCTGTGTTTAGATAGATATGTAATCGAGGGAGCGAACACATAAACAAAACTGCCAGCATGTGACTAAATTCTTGATGTAAACAATCAATCAGTTACAAAATAACAAGCGTCTTTTCAAATGAAAAACGTAACACGTGTATTAGAGAGTGAGGTATCAAAGCATGTAATTATAACTTCTTTTTTTTTAACTAGGAACATTCAGAGCATAAAACCTTGCTTCAAGTTAAAACATAGAAAAAGTGATTGGTATCCCATTAGCGAACTCATTTGCAGCATCCAGTTTTAATCATGCTTTCAGCTTCATTAATTGTATACACAAGCTCTCATTAGGGTCAAGACAAAGCCTCCGTCATGGCCAGCATTGGACTGTTTATCTGACAAGCGTCAATGACTGTTAAGCATCAAGCCGCCAATTCACTATCCAGACGTGACTTAGATATTTCCGCTTTTTTCTTTATATATATATATATATATTAGCTTTCAGTACATAATATTCTATTGTAAGTTGCAAGTTTTTCTTTACTTTTCCTCAAAATATTATTCCTATTTTATTTTTTTATTTTTCAATTAAAAATCAATAATTCATATGATTTTATGGTTAGCTTTCCTCACGAGCCGGGCATAATCTTTCGTTAGCATGGCCGGACCGTAAATTCGAGGATTTGTGGCTCACATCTCGTTGCCCCAGTAAAGAACTCCGCACTTTAGAGCGCGGGTGTGCTATAAGAGTGGCGGTCAAGTCCCACAATTCAATCAGACCAGAGTCGAGCAAGAGTGGACAATGGGTGCTGTTGACTAGCTGCCTTCCCTCCCGTCTATCAGCTCAAAACTAGGAATGGCTAAGTGTAGATAGTCCTTCCGTATCCGTGTGTGAAATTTCTGAAACAAATTAACATATCTCCTCCTAGCTATAATGCCTGAGGTTTACTTAAGAAACGAAAGATTAAACGATCACTTTCATGTCGACCAGGTTAAAGGGAAAGATAGATATAAAACTTCAGTCTATTCTGATATGTTAGTCTCAATTTGTACCTATTCCGGTCAAGTATACAGATAACACAAAAACTGTTTTCTCAAAGTGTGGTAACTTATATCCGAAAATTGTCTCACAGTAACGAAGCTATCACCTTTAGCTTTGTTTAAACAGAATAAGCTATCACCTTTAGCTTTGTTTAAACAGAATCAGCTATCACGTCTAGCTTTGTTTAAATAGAATAAGTTCATGTGGTTTATATACATCTTTTATGGTGTTAATCTAAATACGATTCACTAAGAACCTTGACAACTGATGTTCCGTGTTACGTACAACTGTGTATCTAAATGGATTTCGTGTGTTTTTATTATTTCCATTACACTTAGTGTTTTTATTATATATAATAAGCCTTTCATATAATGTCTCCAACATGAAAATAACCTCAGGTGTTATTCTTTTACTACATATTTGTTTGAAGGTTCTTGGAATGAGCCATTTCTATCAAATGTTGAAATTCTTGGCGAATAACATGCTTTTTTCTTTTCTGATTGAAGCTAGAAGGAACAAAATATTTCACTATAAATACGTAACAGAGAATCTGTAAGGTAAGTTGAATACTACTGTAAATCTTACATACAGACTCTAGTAAAACTCCAAACTACTTCCAAATGACGTTTTGCTTGCTAGTAGAAAGTTTGATCTTTTCTTCAACATAAATTTGTTTGTTTGTTTTTTAGAGCAATACCACATTATACTATTTGCTGTGTCCACTGCAGGAAATCTATCTCCGGATTTTAACGTTGTAAGTCCTTAAACTTATCGCTGTCCCACCGGTGGATCTTCAACATAAATAATTCAAATTATATGAAAGATAATAGGTGTCTTATAAAGCATTATTTTCTTTCTTTATTTATTTTTTTAAGGCTCTGGTTTTTAAAGTAAGCAACAGCTAACAGTGGATAATGCATTTTTATACACAGTAAAGAAACCTCACAAACCTTTTTTAGCTGTTTCTGATCTTCACCGTTAGATGGCGAATAGTGTATCTTCACCCGACTGTTTTTCTGGTATGGTTCCTTTGCAGGAGTATATGTGTACGTGTTTATGTGTATGTATGTGCGCGCGCCCCGTTCGAGTTCTGTCAGCGATGTTTATATAAGTAAGACACGCCGTCTTTCTCCGATTTTTTCTTCTTCCGTCATGAAAAATGTTGATAAATTGAACTCAATTCTACGATATTTGAAGAGATAGACTGCTTCACACAACTTTATCAAGACGCTTTACTTTCATTCTTTCGTCGGACCTCAGAAAGGAGAACCTTGGCGAGGTAACTATGTCACGCTCGGCTCTGATCTATATATACGGAGCTGTAGGCCTCGGTTTAGTATGTACTTTGTCGGTTCCTAATGGAGTCTCTGCCAAAACATTGTTCAAGGTTTACTGGAATTCATCAAATCCCATGTAAGTAATATCCATTTTTTTATCCTTCAAATATTAGACATTTTTATACATATTTGTATAAATATTTTGTACTGTATAATATTATTAAAAGAAATGAGAGACAAATAGACAGATTGAAAGAGAAAAGAAGAAAAAATGGAAAGAATGGAAGAAACGTGTATATGGAATTTACAGAAATATCCAATCTTATACCTACGCGTAAAATCCTCAATTAACGCCAACCAATGAAAAATCACTATTAAATATTTCAAAGTTTAGATGTTAATTTAATTCAAATTCGATGAAATATTTACGTCATTACATACGTATACTGGTTACGAAAAATGCTTAGTTCGAATCTGAATGTACTAAAATTTTATCAAATAACGCTGGACATTCCTATCACTAAATATATACATACTTAATCATTGGATTTTTACTATAAAAACTTCAGAGTTCATATATTTTCATCGCACATTTGTGTATGGACCTGATTACTCCATAAGTACACGTGTTTTTCACGTGTTTTTATCGTTTAGATCTCGAGTGTCTTCTATTATATACTATGACAGGTTTAGTTTTATACATTTCTTCATTGTTACTTTCATTAACAGTATTGATTAGAATGCTTAATATATTTAATTTTATTATTTTTAATTTCCATTTTCATTATTATACTTTTATTACAGCGATTTTTTTTTGTTCGTATTGTTAACCTAATATGTATATTTTGGACTGACCTAAATCCTCTAAGATGGCCGAACCTCGTGAAATATTATTGGGTTTACGGCTGAAAATACCGTTGACAGCGAGAGTACCCAAGTGATGAAACAATGTATTCTGATATTTGTAAATAAGAACGTAAGAAACATATATATTTAATTAGCTATACTCGTTACGAGTTTGACTTTTAGTTTTGCTCTAAGTAGGTATCTTGCTCTTATCTGAAGTGATGATTAATTTACTTGGATTTGAATTAAGAGACTGGAAAAAAGTTGTAAATTGAAAGATGTAGAAAATTAAGTTAATTTCCTATTAATCTATGAAATAACTGGATATTACGATAACAATTTTTCGGTACCTGTCCAATAGGCTCCGTAGGCCTTTTAGTCCGTTACTGTACCAGAAGGGCGGTCGTTTATGCCCGTGGTATTAATCGGCTGAACAATTTCACATGGAGAAGTGACCATTACAACTTCAATACTTCGATGAAGTGTCCATTACAACTTCAATACTTCGGTGAAGTGTCCATTACAACTTCAATACTTAGGTGAAATGATCATAACAACTTCAATACTTAGTTGTTGTTGTTTTTTTTACTACAGCAGATAACAAAATGTTTTGCTCGAAATCTTGGCCAACTCGTCTGAAAAATCAGTTTTCTATCTAGTGTGCCGTTAAATTAGGACAATATAACTAGAAATATAGTTTTTATCAAATCAGCCTTCATGGTCACCCTTGCTTCCACGAGTCTTTAAGTTGTATGCGTTGATTTACATCAATAATGCTTTTTTTAATGACACATAGATAGATTCATTTGTTTCTTAATGATAGACATGTTTTGTTTTGAAAGATAAAGCGAAATTTATTTGTTATAACATCCACGAATCAGCATCTTATATTATACGTCGGGTGTAGCACTCAATTAAACATTTCAGAAATACAAATAATAGTAAGGAACTTTTTTCAAAGAGGGTTGGGATACTCTGTTCCTTTATAGATGCCAGTCGTGAAAATGGAAAATAAAATATATATAGTACAACAACATTGTTTCACAGTTCCTTCTGTGAGAAGGGATGTGCATGCATCAGTATATATATGTATGCATCAATAGATATGCTGGCCTGGTGATTAAAGCATTCGACACGCAACCTATGGTTCGTGGGTTCGAATCCCGTCTCGAATCATCTCGCCCTTTCAGCAGTGGAGGTGTTATGATGTAACGGTCAATCCCACTATTCGTTGTTAAAAAGGAGTCCAAGAGTTGGCGGTGAGTGGTGTTGACTAGCTGCCTTCCCTCTATCGCTTCAAAATTCGGGACGGTTAGCGAAGATAGTCCTCCAACAAACTATAGACTCGCAAATTGTGTATCTTCTCTATTGGGATTTTATTTTCAAACTCAATTGTGTTTAGCTTGTCTCCTGTTAGAAATGATTTCGTTTAGTATTTGAATAGTTAACTTTCATTCATTTTCATTCTGAATCGAGTATTAAGTCTCTGCTATTACAGCTTTATTTATAGCTATTTTAAGTTAATCTTCACTTGTTTCTTTTTAAACAAACGAAAATGTATAAATCCAAAGATATGAGTTAGTATATACCTTTTGTTTTTTTTAATAGATTAACTAAAAACAGGGTAAAAGTAAAAATTAAATGTTTATCATTTGACAGATATATATATATATTTTGGATGGCAGACATGCACTTAATTCGCTTCAGCACCTAGTGAGGAAAACTCCACCATGTTCTCTACACATGTACGAGTATTAATCAATTACTAGTGATCCTTTGTAGTGGGAACTTCAGCTAACATGTTGAACATTGACAATAGAAGAAGCAGTAGCGATGCAGTCCAAATGTCCTTGTTTGCGAATGTATGAAAGACCTATTTATCCATTCGGTCTTTATTAGTCTACTTAATCACTGTAATCTCATACTAAGAAATAACAACCCCGTTAGAGGGGTTTTTTATCCGCTGATTTGACGGTATACGCTACTCGAGGAAACTACCTTTTTAGATGCATTAATATACAACTCTGTGGATGTAGTTATTACTTATTTCACTCAGACTCCAAGAAAGCGAGCTCTGAGAAGAACATTCCTACAACAATGCCATCTCTTGTTTTGACGTCTCATTGCAATATTTATCTCTTTTTCCTTTCGTGAGTTTGTTTGCCATTCTAGTTTTTTGTTGTTGTTGTTGTTTTTTTTTAGTTGCAGACAACCATATTTTTTTGTATTTAACTGTATTTTTTAAGATCAATTCTATTCCCTCATAAATCGTCATTGTAATTAATTCTCTCTCACCAATATATATCCATCGTTCTAGATATTCACCGATTACTTTTGGTTTCTGTTTGTTGTAAGACTTATTTCTGCCTATGGGACAGCGGTGAGCTTATAGACTTACAACACTAATAATCTGGGGTTCGATTCTCCGCGGTTGACACAGGAGATAGCCAAATGTGGCTTTGCTTTAAAAAAAATAAACAAACAATCCTTTCTTGGTAGTTTTTATTTGTGTATTAAACTAATATGCTTTATCATTTTATTCGTATTTATTTTACAAGTCTTATTTACAAGTTGATTTTTCAGAATCAGCCACATACCAGGTTCTCTGAGATATTCACTGATGCTGGTCTACAGTTGTGTTCCTGCTCTATGCTTATACGAATACGTACATTAAAACATGGATTCTGTTACATTTTTAACAATTAGTGTATTAATGATTATTTTCATATACTTAACATCTTAACAGTAAAATATTTAACTAATTGAACCATATAATTTGTTTTAGTTTGTTCCTTTATTATTTTTTTCTCTCTCTTTTTTTTTTCTTTTTTTTTGTTAAACCGAACGAGTATAACGCTTCTGATTTGTTTTGAGAATTCAGAGAAATATTTACCTATTCTCGAGATAGGTGTTATAAGTATATAATGACAGCTATGTTCTCTGTTTCATACACGTAGTGCAATATAATATTAACAATCATTAATATTTTCAAAGGAAACCTTGCAATTTTTGTTTCAAAAAAAGCTTCGAGTAAAACTTTCTAAAGTTTGATATAACTATATTGATTATAAGATTTAGAATTATTGTTCAGTACATTTACTAGAAGACTCCTTTTCCGATCGAAAGATTTATGACGAACGTCTGCAATGACAGTACCTTCAGTAAATGACAAACCGTCAGAAGCACAAAAGTCACATCCTTTCGTATGATAGATTAGGCCTCTTTCAATAACTCAGCCAATTTCTCCGAGAAGATTAGCTAATGTCCCACCGATTTTGAATCAAACGATGTCCCTATTCTTTTGTTCCCAATAACGTGACCAATCTATTTATGTCAGTGGCAGTTGGTTTTCTTGTGACGGTTCACTTTCCACGATTACACAGCCAATTTCCATCCGTTACCGGTATCATCACATTAATGGTTTTACCCTCGTGTTAGTTACCATCATAACAAAAAATAAAAAGAAACTACCAAGAAAATCGTTCGGGATAGATATTTGACGATTAATTTCTTGAAGCTCCCCATCTGGCCTACTCTTACGCAACTGGTTGCAATCCTGTGATCGCACTATCGGCCCATCTATCTAAATTCGTGGGCGCCCTCGATGGATTTTTCCGAGCGTATCGTCAGTTATTCTGCAGTAATCAGGCGACGTATTAGACGCCCGAGTATTAAAATGAGCATTTCATTCGCAAATTGCTCTGCGTAATTATTTTTGTGTACACTACACGAAAGTTTTTAATTGATTGTCGGCGTTTGTCCCAATAACTATGCATTATAATTCAACAATTATTTCAAATAAATGTTTTTGTTTTTGAATTTCGCGCAAAGCTACACGAGGGCTATCTACCCTAATTTAGCAGTGTAAGATTAGAGGGAAGGTAGCTAGTCATCACCACCCACCGCCAACTCTTGGGCTACTATTTTATTAACGAATAGTGGGGTTGACCGTCACATTATAACGCCACCACGGCAGAAAGGGCGAGCATGTTTGGTGGGACGGGGATTCGAGCTTGAAATGTCATTTATTTTTGTTTTGTTTTATTTTCCCGAGAAACTATATTATTCGTAGAAAAAAAATACATTTATTTATTTGTCCATAAGAAATTAATATATCAAGAACATTTATACGTGTTCTGTGTCGTACATATATTTTTCGTATACTGTGCTGTCCAGTAATTTTTTTAATGTTGCAGTTTTTAATACTGATAATATTTATTTTAATATATATAATTTTCTTATCTGATGGTAGTAATCTTAGAAGCGAACATCGTCTATTATTTTGAAAAA